CTACGAAATCTTTAACTCTATAACTTACCCCAAATATTTTAAAAATTATATTATAGGTTCCAAACAACCCGGCCAACGATCAAGGTCTTTTCACACTCATGATCGCAAAAATCAAATAGTTATTAAGCGTAAATCACCCGTTCTTCTAAGGTTCGCAGCATATAAAGTCAAAGATGGAGAACCTTTTTTTTTTCAACATATTATAATTAAGATCCCTGCAAGAACTGAACAAGAATTACTAGGAGGACACTCTACATACAGAGATCATTTTCAATCCATGTTTCCCGTGAGATACCAACAAGTAATTGATTCACTACGCAGAAGTCGTCTAGAAGAAAAAAATAATTTATCAAACGCCTATGAATCAATTTTAAACTCTCTTCTCAACGAATTCGAAAACCAAGAATTATCTAACTTAATATTTACCCAATTCCTCTCTTTAGAACAACATCCTCCCCATATCAATTCACAATCTTCATTAATACTAGATACGAACCAATATAATATCTACAACACATTATGTAATGTTTGGGGAAAATCTACTGACGGAAAATACCCTTATTTCTTCTTAACGGGTTCAGCTGGGACTGGCAAATCATTTATGACAAACCAAATAATTTCGTAGTCGGAGCGATCAAAATATTTATTAATTGAATCGTCCCAATATGGAGGATCACTATTATAAGGGTCATTGTCATTGTTATCGTCTCTTATATTCAGTAGGTGGATGGGTTTGACGGATCTTAGTCTTAATTCAGAAGGTGCGGAAGGAAGATAATGTACAGAAACGGAACATCTTGTCAATGGGTGTTGTAGCAGGAGTACTATTAATTCCATTGCTCCTAATCGTCTAGCCATAATGTGTCGTCTATATTCGTTACTTTCATTAATATCAAAGAGTTCAGAGGTTTCAGGTTTGGTTACATATTTTGTTATATATTTGGCAAACCCAGTGGTTGTAATGTATTGGAAGTTTATGTGTCCTCTCCAGATTAATAGAGTTTCTGGATGATATGGAATGACCATACGGTTTTCTTTTTTAGTACGACGGTATATATAGTGTAAAGTATTAGGTGAATAGTAAGTTATTTGGGAAAGAGGTTGGGGAAAACCTTTAGAACATTGTTCATTATTGTGGCCTTGTGCTCTACATCTGTGGTCGCAGTGGTGTATTTGGAAGGTTGTGACTAGACGATGTAATTCTGGTTCTGTTTGAGGGTCTGGTACATCAGCGCGAATCAAGTTAAGATAAATTAATTTAGGAGTTTTTTTTTCAGTATAGGCGAAGCTATGTGTGTGTATAGTTCCTCTATTTTGAAATTCGTCGCGTTCAAAATAGTGTTCCTATTTGCCACATCTGGATAAATCAGGATTTTTCCATAATTTAGTACGGATATTATTTAGGTAGTTGTGATAGAACATATAGACATGTAATGGTCGATTAGTTGGTAATGTATCATGATTGTCGGTTGATTCTAGGATTTCTCTTAGTTGTGGCCATTTATCTTTAGCCATGGTCATTGTGTAGAATATTTGTGGTAGACCATATGTGGATATCATTGTGTTAACTTAGAGTTGTTTTTTTTTGAAAAAGGGAGAGGCGGTTCTGAAGCTTGAAGGAAGTGTAGTTGTTATTGATTCGTCTAGAATGTTTTTATCATTATATGAACTTTTGCTAATTAAATCTGCTTTTGTAGGATGGTGTTCTTTGTTGACATTATGAGTTGATAATATACGGTGCTGATTTTGAAAGTTTCTTTTTTTTTCCAGATTTAGATATGACCAATGAGGCCAGTACCAATGTAGACGGAATCTAGGATCGGGGCAGAACATTCTTAGTTTTATGTATTTTTCATAACTTTCTATTGACAGGTGAAAGTTTAAGAGCTGTTTAATATTTTCATAATGACCTTTAGCATTAGGAAATAGGTTGAGAAATATTAATGCTTCCAAATCTGGGTTATTAAATAAGATTGGACGGTTAGTAGTATTTATTGATCTGGCTATTAATCGATTGTAATTTGAGTCTTCGTCGTGGATTTCTAACGGGAAAGGGTTATTAGGAACGACTAGGTCAGAAGGACGTAGAATTTCATTGAGAAGGGTGCTACGGTATAGATTAGGAAATGATTCTTGAGTATTAATTGATTGTCTTGCTAGAGGTAGTAGAATAGGTACTGGGGTTTCTGATGATGTAGGAATAATGTTAATATTTGATGCGTAATTTTTAATAAGGTCATTGTGTTGTTTTAGCCAAATGGAGGCGGGAATTAAGGTTTCATGAAACCAATTTGGAGGTTCATGTATATTTAAATAGGCTCCTGCGGTTCCAGAATAAACTTCTAAAGTGCGATAGTTATGTGACATATTTATAATTCCTTCTAGGTGGCAATAGTTAGTGTAGTGATTAGAGTCAGCAGCTCATCCTAATGAGCAATTGAGGTGTACAGAAGAGAGGTATCTCCTGTGAAACATTGGAACTTGTTGGAGTTCAGGAGGGATTTCGGCCAGGATTGAAGGATAGCGGCGTGTATTTTGTTTTTTGCATCCATTACAAACAGCTACTTGTGTGATATTGCGGTTATTTTGGCGTGTATATATGGGAATATTAGGGAAGGCGATAGTTAGAGTGTATTGTTTATTAGTTTCATAAGGTAACCACTTTACAGAAGATTGCATCATGAGCATGGAACAATAAGCACAAGGGATATTGGGATAGTCGTTTAGTAGTTTTGATTAAAAAAGGTTCAAGAGACACAGAAGACCTGCTTGTGGGGTAAAGGGATTGTAATTATTTGGAAGTGCGAAGTTTGATTTGATATTGTTAAGGTTGGCACATTAGATAGGTTTTGGTTTATTTCATTTCTTTGAGTATAGGGTTCGAAAAGTATATTTAATTGGGGGTCTACATGGGTTTCTGGATTATACAATGCTTCTGTAAGAGATGTAAAAAGGGGAAAACGATTTATTTCGTGATTGGACATTTTTAGTTTTTAAAAAGTGTTATGTTTTTAAAGTAAGGGATCTGACTGATTTTATGG